AAGTATCGCAAGTAAGCTAAATATTTCGAGTATGAAAATACATTTAAAGTAAAGTAGGGAGGGAAAGCATCTCAAGTAAGTTAAGCCGCAGCTAAAAAAAGGTGAGTGAGACGAATAGTCCATTTTACAGTTACAGGTGGAAACGAGGCTGGAGTTGACCTCGTTTTGATACAACCCTTCCTGCTTTGTTATGTAAATCATGTCATTCTCATGCTAACTAGTATTTTTTAAGCACAATTTCCATTAGAAAAGGAAAGAGGTTTGTATCAAAACAAGGTCAACCTCAGCCTCTCGTTCATTCAAAGGCTAGGATAACTGTAAAATGGTCTATTATATGAACAACTCTGTATGATGGCTTGACATAAAATATTTCCCCGTTGCCGGGTGTTAAATCTCTGTACATTTGACGTCATACACCAAAGCAAGTGAAGTCATGCATCATGGTTTGTTTGTTGTTTATTGTTAGCTGTGCAACTGAAAAAGATCTAAGGAAGGTCTGCTTGTGTCGTAAGAATGCATCTCTATCCAGTGGTTCTTTTTCTGATCATCATCACACAGATGAGTGTGATGATGGAGTTATCTCAGGCCGCTAGGGGAAGAAGCGGTGGTGGTTCTCGCGGTGGATCCAGTGGTAGCCGAAAAAGGTCAGGGTCTAAATCAAGCTCTGGATCAGGTTCTAAGACAAAAGTCGGCAAATACGATCCTATTAAACCAACCACAGTTCGCTCTCCTGTTATTGTCAAGCAAACTAAGGTTGGTTCTCGCTCAGACGTGCTAAAAAGAGTTCTGTTTGGTTATGTCGTGTATAGCTATGCTTTCGGTAATGCTCCAGTGTATCGCGAAGGGTATCCGATGTATGGTAGTTACGTTACAATCCCAGAAAAAAGAGCTGTCAGAATTACCTATGAAGAGCAGACGTTGCTGAACGATGGAGGAGACAAATGTCTGTCAGAAGATTCAAAGACTTCTACGCTACGGGAAGGTATCGGCGAAAACTTGGTGGAATTGAAGACAACAGTCAAGTACAAAAACGGGAAAACGCAGATTTATAATAACAGTACCATCACTTTGGAAGACATCAAAGAGGAGGATTTTGAAGTGATCACTCGAGCTCGGTATAACACAACAATAGTAGCAGGAACATCCTGTACTCAAGTGGACAAGAAAGTTGAAGGGACGATGGTTACATTGTACGAGACAAATCCCAACGCAGCTAACTCACTTAACAGTAATTACATGCTGTTGATAAATATGATTTTACTTTCTACAGCTATTGAAACGTTTAGCTACAGCCGTGGCTAAAAGATTTATGCAAATTATGTCGTAGATTCAACACTAAAAACCACGTTTGAATTCGGAAACATTTGACTTTTTAAGTACAACTCATAAATCTCTGAGTCGCAAGTTTTAACTAACAGTCAGTAGTAAAATAATTAGTCACGCTTGTGCTTTTTTAATAACTTACAATCTTGTATGCAAATAACAATTAATTAAACGGAACCCTTTTGGACGCAGTGAAGTGTATACATGTATGGGCAGGAACTGTACTTTCCTCTCCTGTCACATGATATCTCCTGGCGTTGGGATGTGAAGAGAAAAAAAGTTGTTCTACGCCCTCATAACCTTTCTCATTTTACATACAGGTAAAAATGATGATAGGCTTATTTAAAGCCCTTTACGTCATAGCTAATCATGAAACCTCATCCCTCAATTGCGTATCACTTCCCCGGAAAAGCAAACAAGGCGCAGGCGAGAAGCTCGCTTTGGCTGCTCATTTTGTCTTTCCACTGCCACAGAAACAGAGACGAAGTAACCAAAGTATAACCTGTTCACTTTGGTAGGTAAATGAGTTAAATTGCGTCAATGTTAATTGTACGACGGCCGTACTTTCACATTCCCGATGCAAGCCTCTACTTGGTTCGATCTCACTTGCTGTAGTTGTGAAACCTTATTTCATTGCATCTTGCTAGTTAGATTTCGATATTACATATATTGAGGCTTGCAAAATCAAATTACGAATACACGATTTAGATATGGCATGTAAAGTCTATGTGAAGTTATTGCTTCATAACACATCGAGAGAGGAAGTGGGCAGAAATGACCGAGATTTACCACAATCCCTATTTCCTTTTATTTTGTTATTTTCTACCTTGCGATTTGATCTCTAACTATCACATCTAATGCTCTAATTTTTCCGTTGTAGTTTTTTAAAAACAACTTACTTTATGTTTCACTTTCACTTTGCCGGAGAAGTCCCTCCTATCTTCCGGGAATATCGAATTTTCTAGATCGAGGGGTCGAGTCGAGGAAATAACCATTTCTTGAGAGGGAAGCTAAAGGGAATTTGAAAGCATTTCTTTACAAAGATAAGGTTGAAAAAAAATTTGTAGTTTTACTCTGGCAACACAAGATTGAGATGGCGGTAGGCTTATAATTCGAAATAGCCCGCACCCCTTTATGTTTCGTGACACAAGGGAAGCCAAGATCTGACAGAAGGGGG